AGTAGTTCAAAAGCATGTAAAAATGCAAATAGGAAAAAGGGAACCACATTTGGTGGGAAGGCATTCTGTGCACCTTCGGCATTGAGTCATGCCAGCCACATGACCACGGAGACGTCTTCGGACAGCGCTGGCTCTTCGGCTTTGAAACGGAGATGAGCACCGCCCCCTAGAGTCGGGAACGACTAGCATATATGTGCGAGGGAAACCTTTACCTTTACTTTTAAGAAGCATATTAATTTTGTTGTTGTTGAAGTCAGATTGACATTGGCTGACTGGATGGCTTATAAAAAAAGTCCTGCAGATTTGATTATTCTATTTTTTTCCCCTTTTTATTTCCTTCCTCCTGCAGAAGCTGGTGAGAAGGGAACCCAACTTTCCGGCGGTCAAAAGCAGAGAGTGGCTATTGCTAGAGCTTTAATCAGGAACCCACCGATCCTGATTTTGGACGAAGCTACGAGTGCTTTAGATGCAGAGAGTGAAAATGCGGTGAGCAAGTTCGCAGGTTTCCTGTTCAAACTTCCTGAACCTTCAGCGGAATTTGTCCTTCCCTAAGATGTCTTTTGCACACAAAAAGAGATTCTATCGTTCAAGAGAGCATTTCTGAATCATGGCAACTTTTAAGACCTGCAGACTTCAACTCCCAGAATTCCCCCAGCCACATCACATGGCCGACTTTAATTGAAGGTTGTCAATTAAATCCTTGAGAAAAATAAAAATAAGTTAAGCCAAAGGTTAGGTTTACCCAAGGGACACATTTTCGGGGTTTTCCCCAAACATTGAAAACAGGCTGTGTTTATACAAACCGCCATCAAATTATCAAAATTAATCGCAACTAAACTTGAGCTGCATGGGGGATCGCAGCTCCTAACTTGATTGAACATGTTTTGAACATAAGCTATATTATTAATAAGGGCTTGAGGGCTTTTATTTAAACCTTTCCTGTTACTTTTGTTTTGGTGTTTAATTGATTGGAAGCTCTCATGAGTGAATAGATTTGACTATTTTCCTGTCTTGTGTTTTGGGTGATGGGATATATTGGGCGGAAAAATGGGGATATCTGAGAGACCGCCTCCTGCTACATACCTCCCAACGGCCGATAAGAACTCATAGGCTAGGCCTCCTCCGAGTGCCGTCGACCGGACAATGCCGGCTGGCGACCCCTCAGGGGAGAGCCTTTTCTGTAGCTGCTCCGGCTCTGTGGAACGATCTCCCCGCAGAGATCCGGACCCTTCCCACTCTCACGGCCTTG